TAAATACTATTTGTGTAGACTTGATTGTTATTTGATATTGTTTGAATTTTTACATAAACAATCGGTATAGTGATTATTTTTTAATCAGGCCAACTTTAAGTCATAGCACATTCGGAATACGTCATTCAACTATACGATGGTTGTTTATAAGGTAATAGTGACGTTACAGAAGCAGTATCTGCAGTATGGTGACGTCATTCCTTGTAATATTCCTGATAAGCGTTATCAGAATGCCTTCCAAGCATCAATGTTCGGAATGTTTCCTCTACATTGAGATGGCTTATTTTACATTACTGTTACTGTTATTTCGCCAAATTAATCACTAGTTATAAACTTATCTGTTATAAACTTAAGATTAACTAGCGACGTTTACAAATGTTGATGAAGTTTCAAGGGAATTCAAACCATCTAATTTTGGTTGGCCAAAACATTTTGGTTTTAGATTATGCTTCAGATTCTTTGCTCTTTTGGGTTCTAACCTATCTCCCTTAAATCAACCTAACCTCAAACAGAATTTTGGATACTTTTCTCATTTCAACGTGGAAAAGAATAATGCACTAGTATAACGGAGAAGGTCCAGGATGAAAAAGATTATGTTTTGTAAGTTAAGATACAACTAATGTATTGAGTTCTGTTAAGGTAAGTAGGTTATTTAAACAGACTATCGTGTTTAGGAAGTCACATTTCTTCCAATCAAATACATCTACAAACAACTACAGTAGCACAATGCACAATCCAAATAAAGTAGTTCAGAAAGCTACATGTCAATCAGTCAAACGCTAGGTTTAATTTCCGGTTTCAGTGCAGTACTACTACTCATATCCTGGGATCAAGCTATATAAGAGAAACTACCAAAACTTCAGTAATAAAGCTAAACCAAAACGAAACAAGTTTTGTTCGGTAATTCCTTGTGGGTGAGATTTTGCTAAATGAAACAAATATTTACATCCATTACATGCGTTTAAGTTTTGTTTAAGTTAGGTTTAATCATCTTAGATTGAATTTATTAAGTCAAGAAAAGAATCATGTAGTGTAGAGTATTTTTAGATTATAAAATGCAATATTTAACAATTTGATCCCTCTGACGTTTGATTGACCTTAACATAACAAGGACTCAAACTACTCACTAATAGACACTTGAACAGCAAAACTACATAAATTAACCTTCTGGAAATCATTTACATTATGTCCTTTGATGCGACTAAACGGCCACTCAATTATGCATTCGACTTCAAGTTTCAAAGGAATTGTTTATGCTAAGATAACTGTTGTTTACACTCGGTTAGTTTAACTGATTAATGTGTCTGGATTTTGGTTGGCTGAAAAAAGTTGCGTATCATTGTTTGGTTTTAGGTTATAACAGAAAGGGGATTTTCTGTTCATCTACCAGATTCATTTAATCAATTCTTGCTCCAAACAGTTTTTTTTCATGTCCATACATTAGTTTGTAAGGTGTCAATATTATAAATTAAATAAGGGTAATCAATGCTGGCTTGGGCTGTATTGCTGATCTAGGTAAAAGGTCCTGTTTTCTGGGCTCCAGCATACATTTCCAACAATCTTTAAGGTCAATTAGGTCAATTGAAGGTCAATCTTTAGAACCAACATAGGTACAAAGGCATCATAAGTCTCCCTCACACCACAGTCTCTATGTCAACTGATTTTCACTCCCATTCGTAAAGCTATGCTGAGAGATACATCTTTGAAATTTTATATGAAACGTGGAACAGTAACATTTTTTGGGAGTTTCGTTCCTATTACGAAAGACCTAATGGTTTTATGGTTAATGGTTTTTGCAGTGATCATTCACATAAAATTTTAAATTTTAAATTTAAATATCATCACGGTTTAAGTCCAATGGAGAAGTAAGTGGGTTAAAACTAACTCACGTCTTTTTGGATTTGTCATTATTATACAATTGTATGGCTATGTTCAGTGTGCTTGGATGTCTATAATTTAATTCTTGTTATTTCATTACACAGTATTGATTATGCTATTTATTGTCTCGTTGTTTTTACGTCCAAGAGAGTAAAACAAATACTCTAAAATGCACACTGTGTACGCTCACATCTGTACCCTCAATCGAAACCAGTGCTTGCATTAAACATGGTTTTATGTTACAGTTTTACTTGTAGAGTAACTAAAGGCAATTTCAAAGGCAAATAAATGCAATAATATCAATACTGGCTTTGAACCAGCAATATCTAGTTTTTAAGTCCAAACGCGACGTCAGATTTGACAAAGACTAATTATTTTAATGTAGCTTCTTCACTCAGCTTTGAAATTAGTACAGTTTTAAACACGTTGAGTGTTAGATTAAGGTACAAAGACCGTTTATATGGTATTTTTTACCCTAACCTAATTAATATAAAAAAAGATTTATATTTTTATTGTTTTATGAACCACGTATGATCTATTAATATTGTAAATATGATAAAATATAATATGTAAATACATGTTAAGCCATGTTTGTTCATTTTGATTTCTACCGACACTAGCATTTTCTAATTTGAGTTTTCAGTTAATAAACAAAATGGAAAGAGAATGAAGAAGTAATTTTGAGAAAAGAGAAAAAGTGTGAAGAATATCCAGCTTAGGAAGGTCACAGAGTATTGCCCCCAGTAGTGAGGCTGCGTCGGCAAAATGAAATTACAAAACCGTTTGCCCACTTTTCCTCCCTTCTCATATTACACTGACGGTAAATCGCCCCGTTTTACAATATTGCAACGTTATCTAGACGAAAAAATAACAATATTATATGTGTATGATAGATAAATTTGTTTTAATCTCAATATCAAATGAATAAGTCGACTATGTGGTGTAATAACACCAGTACTTGTAAATAAAAATCAGGTTAAACAATTTATTCAATTAAAGTTAAATGATTTTAATTTAGCTTTTTAGCTATTGTAGTGAGTGGTTTAGATTGTGTAGACCATTTTAACACATTTTACTACTACTACTAGGCTAGTTAAAACATTCACAATATCGCTTAAAAACATACATCTTGGATCAAAGTTATTTACTTAACATGGAAATACATAATAGATCAAATTAAGGAATTAATTTTAGTTTGAATTTTATCTCCAGTAAAGGTATGACAAAAATTTATCCTCGCCTAAATACCTTACTCCCTAAATATAGGAAATCTTATTCTCATGAAATGCTATTGCTGTGACCACACTAAACCAAAGCATAAATCATTTTTGTTCATTCAATAAGAAAATCTTTCACTTTTCTAAGGTAAAACTTCCATTACAAACTATAGATTGGAAGTTAAACTACATTTTTTGGAATTACGTAGATAAAAGCCTTTTTCAAAATCATGGAGAGCCATTATCGGATGTCAGTCTCCCATAGTGAAGGCGGTCTGGAGATTTAAGCTTTTGTGTTCTGGCTTTTCACAGCCTCCGCTGAGATCTTTTGTTGCTCTAATGGAGACCCTTTCGTAATCGACCTTCCATTAACACCGTGCCTTGCAAAGGCTAATGTAAAATGTGTTAGGTTGTGACAGAAAGTCTGTTAGTATGCAAAAGTGTAAATTGATTTGAAATTCTTATTTTGTTCTTACTAGGGGTTGGGATAATATTGTAGTTTTGCCCGTTTATTTTTTTATTGAATTTGTTACATTTATTTATTTCATACTATGGTGTTTACATTATACGAAAACCCCTATTTTCCTTCACTGTAGCAGCAAATCTAGTTCACCTACTTGTTTTTTCGAGGACGATAGGCACGAGTCTCTGATTATTTTCCACATATTAAAGGCTAGACCTAGGAGTTGCAGCATTATCACTTAGATAAAAACCATTGGTGAATTGACGGGATTTCAGGGACTAAAGTCTAGCTCACTCCCCAAATTACTAGTTAAACTTAATGTTATTTAAATGGGAAATAAATCGGACACGTTTGCTGTGGCGGGGTACTCTTACTTTGTTCTAGAAATAGCAACAAAAATATTCTGTCACGGATTAGTAAAAGCTTTGCCTATCCATTTCAAACCGTGTTTCCTTGCACCTAGATATGTGCTTATCTCTATAGCTAAGTCTACTTCTGATTTAGAAACCAAGCTTCGTACGAACTCCCAGAGGATTGGTGATTCGTTGCTTGTAGCCTGATTTACTGAGCCGACTGGAACATTTTGAACATCCTTCTAGGTTATTAAGAATTAAATAAGGTACATTAAAGGCTGGTGTTTTTAACTGTATCAAAGTTTGTATAGTTTCTTTGTAAAGATTGTAAAAAATTCTGATTTTATGGTTTATTAATGATATAATTCGGTTGAAAAACAACTTGGATATTATTTTTTTTTTTAGTTTGATTGCGAATAGGCCTAAAATATTTTTTTGAGATATAATCACAAAGTTTTTGGCTTTAATTTTTATTTAGCATTTAAGAGGCATTTAAGTATAATTAATAAGTGGTTGGAACAAATGAAGTTAGGGCCTGGGGATTTGGTTTAATTAAAACCTAACATTATATGAAAGTGTTATTTTTTTCCGTATGAAATTTAATACTAATTTATTATTATTGTTGGATTGAAGATTTTACACACACGAACTTGTTTTTTGGAGATGCATTTGGTGTATTTTGAATTAGCTTAAAAAGGTTTGGTAATTTTTATGAAGTTAAAATATATTACTGTTGTTAAAATATATTTCAGTAGTAGATTTAGGAATTATTTACGATAGTAGTATACATTACATATACACCCCCATTGTATGATAATTCCTTCACTAATAATAACGACTAAAACAGTTAACAAAACAACTGTACCTCCTCACCCCCAGCGTTAACCAAATTAAACTAAACGTTAGCGGTTGAACTTGATAAACCAACACTACACGCAATAGCGGAGTAAGACAATGAAACTTTTTTAATGTATCCGTGAAGAGGGTGGGGGGAGATTGTAGTGTAGTGTAGTGGCGGATTCACCCTCTGCACCCCTGGAGCATGCGCTGGGATGCTGGGACACATCTGACAGATCAGTGTCGTGCGAGGTGTCCTAGGGTGCGGGAGTGTTGTGTACGAGAGGGTCTACAACCCCACATGGATCCCCATACACTCCTCGTCACAACCATAACAGGTGAGTTAGAGTACAGGTGAGGGAGTGGAATAGAGAATGAGGAGATAAGAGGCTCTAGATGTAAACTCGAGAAAAATTCTGGGTTCCAAAAGGTTGTTTGCGAGAGTATATATTTAACATTAAGATAAATACCACTACGCTATAAACTTAGATTATATATATTTCTTACAAATGTCGGCGGTATCTTCTAACCTTGAATTACTCCGTCCACATGGTCTTAGGTATATTTGTAGAATGTTTCAATGGGGCTGGTACATAAGAATGGACATACTGATGAATTTTAGTAGTAGAACTTGGACTCGAACCGGAACCCTTGACTTCACTACTTTTATTTCACAGTACATCGTGCTAGCTACTAAATCACTGAATTAGGTACAGTTCCGTAAAGATTTCTATTTTAGAAACGTAAAATGTAAAATTTAAAATATGAATACTTGAGTAATAAAAACAGTATTTAAAATCCTATAAATGTTTATGTCATTGTAATGGAACTATGCAATAACTTTGCTTTTTAAATTTCAGAGATGTATAGAACCGAAATTCCTGTATAATCTGTAATGTATGGTTTAGAAAAAAGCAATCCCTTATGTTTGATATTTGAATCAACCTCTAAACGATTATCAATCCATTATAACTAATTATAATTCATACATCAAACATATAGCACTATGAAGACTATAGGATTTGACCGTTTTAAGTGTTTGTACAATATACTATAATTAATAATAACCAAAATTATCTGTAAATTTAATGTGTATAACAAGCACCTTTACTACCAAGGGTTGTATATAGTCATAGTTTTATATTCCAAATATGAGTTTATTACATATTTTAGTGTATCACAATTTATATAGGTTAGTATTAATTCTAAATTAAAAATTATACACCGTTCTTAATTATTTTAGAACTATTAAAACAGTTGTTTAAAGAACATTTTAGAATTGAAGTTTAATATCGTACACTAATATTTATGTTTCATAATTAGAAGTGGTGACAATTATATACTAACGTATTTGTTTACTTAAATATAATCTTATACCTATAAACAACACTGAGATAAGCACAGGAAACTAATCACATCCGTCAACACAAATTACAAACTCATTATGTCACGATAAATATAAAATACTGAAAACTATAATATTTCAATTTTTCCAAACGAGACACAATTACGTAAGTTGAGTTTATTAAATTATCAATAAGGAGTCGAGATGTTTGTTTGCAGAACTGTTTGTTGATCTGTCAAAGCTGCCCAACTTCCTGACAACTCCGCCAAACTTTACCCTTTATTGTTTCAAACTTCAAGCTGGGCCCAGTAAGTAATACTTTGGTGTTTTAGACGGTTGGAAAAGTTTGTGGGAAACAGGTGATAGTATTGAAAATATAAACAATTTATATGTATTAAGTTTTTAGTTTGTCGACGAAACCTTTCCAAAGTGTATGTGTCAAATTTAAAAACGTTTGGAGTGATAGATATAGTTACTACAAAAAACTGCGGTACGAAAGTAATTCTAACAACAGCACACCTTTCGAAACAAAAGCTGGTGCCTTGTTTCCCACTTCGTGTTTAACGCTTGGGTTCAACCATGTTCAACCTATCCTAAGACGTGTTTGAAAGACCACTTTATATTAACTGTATGAAAGAATATAATGTGTAACACGAGTGAAAAGTGCCTTTGCTGCACTCAAGAAACTTTCCACACCCGCCTGCGACTCGTGCGTAAGCATTTCTCTCATGTGCAGTAAAGTGCCACTTCGCACAATAGTTACACAAATAAATATGTTTCGGTGACTGGATTAAAAATACAAAAAGTAACAATAGCAGGTTTGCTTTACTAGCCTGTTTTAAGCTACTCAATAGTATTTCTGAGTATTTACTTCTTTAAAAAACTTTGTATTCCACAACTATTGTTGTTTTTGAAATTATAAAACTGGAGATACCTGATATAAACCTGTATATTTTATTTGTTTACGATAACATAAATTGTGATTTCAATACAATTTGAATATTTCTTACTAAAATTATAGGTATGAAAAATAGTATAAAAGTACAATAAAATTGTTGCCTCAGCATAAACCAAACGTATAGCATAATAATTTAAATTCCTATTCGCAATAAATTACGGTTTAATCAAATCTATAAAAGTATAAAACAAAATACTTACATAAGAATAATATTTTAATATCAATTTATAAATAAGTGGCTAAAATATTTTACCCTCTGCTAAACTATTTTTCCAAAGAATGTAAACACGTACCTATCTGCAAAGGTAAAAATAAAACCCCAATGTCTAATAGATTAATACTTTGAGGTAAAAGTTTGTCGATCTAACTAAAGTATTCACAGCTCTATAAATGTGTTTGCATTATAAATATTAAATACCCTCAAAGATTAGAGAAGTAACAAAATTTGCAAAGTAATTAAAACATGCATTCAATTTTTATTTCAAATCACGATCCCTGCAAATAATTGTTTACCCCAATATGATGTATTAAGCTGTTTTACATACGTTTTTAATTGGCGGCTGAAAGCTACGTTTTGCTGGCCTTGCCAGCTGTCATCGTCATTTGGGGACCGAGCAGGTTTTTCCCTAGGGCCACAAAATCAGCTGCCTGCTTACTTTCTCAAATCATGAATGCATATTAAATACACAATAAGTATCCATAGCATTGCAATAGAATTGTTTTATTGTCACTCCTTCCTAGCAACTATTCATTATTACTTTTGCTGATTCCTCAAATTATTTCTTCACATAACCTTAAAGTTGTACTTGTGTTGTATCAGTGTGCATTATTATTGTGTTGAATAGTGGCATTAGGGTATAGTGTGGTAAAAAATAGCGTTCGTACCACGGATCGAAATCTTTTTCGTCCCAAGTATATAGTATTAAACATCGTATCAGTTTCTCAAAGACAAATTAATAACTACAAATATTTTAAAACAGATGACACAATACAATTCCTGATTCCAAGAGAGAGTCGCAAATTCAAGCCAAAATATCAGATCTATCAACCAAGGCTATTCAATCCAACTAACAATGATAGTATATAGATTACACTAAACATAATAGAGTTCAAGTAATTAAAACAAGCCAGGTGTTTGTATAACATGTTTGTGCAAGTCTCTATAAACGGTTTGATGAGAAGACATGAGTTTAATAAGTTAAATCCCAACTTCCCAACGCTCGCGGCTTGCTAAGAAACGGATTGTTTACCAGCTTCTAAATGAGCTCAGGGATTTTATCTGGAAATTAATTCACTCCATTTTAGTAATTTCTTGTAACAACGGCATTCTTTACATAATTAATTAAAGGTGTTTAAAATTACCTATAAATCGGTTTTGAAATTTTCAAATGTCAAAAAATGTCTGGCCCTACTAAAACATAAATAAAAATTATGATTCATGTTTGCAACTTTAAAATTTTTTGTTTATAATTAAGTTTTGGTTTAAAATTTAAATACAATTTTTTTTACGAATAATCTATCATAATTTTAACTGAAAACAATCGTGTTTCCTAGTTAGTAATACAAAAACTGTACTTAAATTGAAACAAGTGCAGATACTTAATATGTAAAAATATGATGAGACTTAAGCTTATTTATGGTAAGATAAGTTCTACGAATTTTTAATTTTAGAGTGAACTTTTAGTTAACAATGTATAGGAGATGGAATTTTTACTTAACCTAAAAGGTCTACCGCAATTACGTATATACTATTTAAATTCAACTAGCTATAATTTACTATGAAACTAAACACGTTTTTCATAATAATTTTACAAACACTTAAATCCTGACGGTTTAAAACAATAATTAATTGAGTGATGAATATATCGAAAACATTTTTTCTTAAAAAAGCACAAGACAGTGTATCAATTTCGTAATTAAGAAGTAAATCATGATAATTACATTTAATTTATGTATGGACCTGCATTATATTTTCACAAAACAGATTTCAATACAACAAAGACCAACATAAAGTTACAGAAATATACTGCACTCCTCATTCGTACATTATAAAATAAATTTAATATAATGTAATTAATGGTTATCATCAAATTTTATTTTAGTGAAACTGTAATGTACCAAGAGAAACTTGTAGCAAATATATTCAAACTTGTTATTAAGTTTTCTTGAGTCTCAAAGGAACAAAAAAAAAAAAATAGTCTTATTTGTCAAAGTCAAAGATAGAGGTGGTAATGAGTTAATGTTGGAGTGTTGGGATCAGACGTGCGTAGCCTACATGACCTGAAAGTTAACTGGTTAACTCTACCAGCAATACCCTCATACCCTAGTCTATAAACCCAGTATAGACTGCTTGGTTAGTTGAAGGTGAGAATGAGTTAATGTAGGAGACCTGGGATAACACCTGCGTAGGCTACGTGATCTGAGAGTTAACTCCTAGTTACTCTACCGCCAAGACCCTCACACCATTCCTAGACACCCAGTATAGACTGCTTGGATAGTTGAAGGGGAGAATGAGTTAATGTAAGAGAGCAGGGATCATACGTGCGTAGCCTACGTGACTTGAGAGTTAACTGGTAGTTACTCTAACACCAAGACCCTCACACCCTAGTCTAGACACTCGGTATAGACTGCTTGGTAAGTTGAAGGTGAGAATGAGTTAATGTTGGAGTGTTAGGATCAAACATGCGTAGCCTACGTGACCTGAGAGTTAACTGGTAGTCACTCTACCACCAAGACTCTCACAACGTAGTCTAGACACCTGGTATAGACTGCTTGGTTAGTTGAAGGTGAGAATGAGTTAATGTTGGAGTGTTAGGATCAAACGTGCGTAGCCTACGTGACTTGAGAGTTAACTGTTAGTTACTCTAACACCAAGATCCTCACACCCTAGTCTAGACACTCGGTATAGACTGCTTGGTAAGTTGAAGGTGAGAATGAGTTAATGTTGGAGTGTTAGGATCAAACATGCGTAGCCTACGTGACCTGAGAGTTAACTGGTAGTTACTCTAACACCAAGACCCTCACACCCTAGTCTA